TGCATTGTGTTCGAAGGAAGACGGTAAGGGAGACTGATGTCTCTTATACACATCTAGATGTGTATAAGAGACAGGAATTTCACTGCGCCGAACCTTCTTTATGGTACTCTCACAGGGTAAAAAAAAAAAAAAAAGGAACAAGAAAAGTTGCGGCCGTGAAACTCACAAAACCTTCCCAGAAAAAAAAGAAAAGAAAAAAAAGAAACTCACAAAACAAGGAAAAAAAAAACAAGGAGTGACTCACGTCGTGATTGCAGTTGTGTACATTCTTGGAAGTGGTAGTGTGAGTGTGCCCTCCGTGAGGGCATCTCAGCCTCGTGACCAGAAACGAAAAAAAAAATAAAAAAATGGAAACACGGATTGGGCCATGAAAATGGCTGGATACATTCCTCTAAGTGCCATTGTGATCAAGGTTACAATCCTATGATCACGGATTCCGCTGTCAGATTCCAGAAAGAGTGAGTCAAAAAAAAAAGGGAACACCGATTCGGCCCTGAAAATTGCTGGATACATTTCTGTAAGTGCCAGTGCGATGAGGCTTACAATCCTCTGAGGAAACACACAAAGGGCCTCAATACTGAGTAAACTATACTATTCGATGGCATGTGGGCTGAGGCTCCCGCTCTCGGAGTTTTTACGATTTTCCAACATGCGTTTCCTTTCGTCCGATCGTCGGCGAAGGGGGTGCTAGACGGTAGGCCAGTGGAGACTACTGGTAAGCGGGGGGCGCACTAGTGAGGGGGGCAGGTCAGCGTGGTGTAGGACGCGGCGTGCAACGAACGGTGCCAACTTGGCTTACAGTCGGGACAGAGCTCGCAGTGCACTGCGGGAAACCACGCGGAAGCGGAGGACGCATGAGAGGCAAAAGATCGAGAAAGTTGACCGAGCGGAAGGTCCGCGGAAGAACGTGACTCAGACGACGTCACAGCCAGCGAAGCACACCCAAACATGTTCGCAGAGAGTGACACGTGGACAGGAGGGGCGTTGCAATGCAGTATATGACACGTGGACTGTCCGGGGACTTGATTAAGGGCGTGACACGTGGCATCCTCTTTTCTTTTTTATTCGGTTGTTCAGGTCTGTTTTCTTTCATTTTTATTTCTTCATTTCTTCTGGCTGCCTTTTTATTCCGGGGGGGGGGGAGGGTGAGGGGGCTGATATTCTCTGCCGTCGTAGTCGCTCACTAAGGACCTCCGTGAGGGCTACTTAACCCTTACAAAGGAAACTTGCACATACGGTTCGGGAAAGACTCTCTCCCTCTACCCCGCACCTCCCCTCAACTCCCCCCCTCTCCCTCTCCTCTCCTCCCCTCCTCGCCTCCTCCCCCCCTTCCCTTCCCTCTCCTCTCCTCTCCTCATCTTCTCTCCTCTCCTCCCCTCCTCTCCCCTCCTCTCCTCTCCCCTCCTCTCCTCTTCTGTCCTCTCCTCCCCTCCCTTCCCTCCCCTTCTCGGCTTTACTGACGTAGGCGACGAGGCGATTCAGACCAGCACCTCCCAGTTCTCAGGTTGACACTGAAAATTAGGTTTTCCTGTAATGTGATGATGGAGGAAACCAAGTGCCGCCCAGAGGAACTCTCTCTACCACCTTTCCTCGAATAGAAAACATGCCCACTAGAACGCGTGTCCGGCTTGAATATTATCGACCTATCTACAGCTATGATGGTCCTGCCTTCACATCAGAGAAGAAACTCATTTAAGGTTCTCCCACCAATTGGATTGACAGACTGTAATTCAGTGACAGTGGACGTGACAAAAAAGAAAATAAAAAAATTCTGGATGGTACACCTTTGATGGCCTTGCCTTCAAATCGGAGAAGAAAATCATCGAGAGTTCTCCCACCAATTGGATTGACAGACTGTTTTTTTTTTTTTTTTTTTTTTTTTTTTTTTTTTTTTTTGCAAAGAGATGCAGAAAGTATCACATACGAAATAAGGCAGAAGACTCTGATTGACTCTGCGGAACGATTCATCAAAACTCGACCTTCAAGGACGGATTTCTGGGGCAAATCTCTTAAATCGGCCTCGACAGAAACAAAAAACTCCACCTTCCATATCCTCCCTCCTCATTACAAGAGACTACACGGACTCCCAATATGCACCGACGAGTACACTCCCCTCCCTTTTTCCCAAGGGCGCACACTCCTCTCCTTCGCCGCAAATGCCACCTTTCAAATCACAACGCATCAATCAAAACCAGTTATCGACCACCACAAATGCCCTCCATGAGACAACATCACAGCCGCTCCCAGCGGACGAAAACATGTTTAAGATTAGCATCGTTACTTGCCCACCATGTCAACAACGGCTCAGAAGACTGGCAAAATATCGCACCCGTGCCCCACATCCACACATCCCGCGCATCCCGCGCCAGCGTCGCACAAGCAGACTGGTAACATCGCCAGCGCTTCCACCTACAGAAAGGAGGACAGGGATCCCTGCATACAAAAATTCCGATCAACTCTGCTACCCGGCGTCGCACACGTGTCCTCCTACCCCTAAAACCAAGGAGGATAAGCAGACAGCGTATGCAACACGCGTCGCGCAAGCCGCTCAATCCTTGCGTTCGTCGATTCGTGGCACCTCCCCCAGACGATTTTAACGCTTTCCTCCGCCGCCACCCAGCTTCGGCCCCTTCGGTTGAGGCGCCTTCCGTGTGGTCTTCATCGCCGACTTCGATGCCTTGGCTTGAGCTTCTACCTTCTTCGCCTTCTCTCGTCCTTGGTCTTCTTAATCCGCTCCTTCACCTCACGCAAGGCTGCCTCTCTGGCGGCTTCTCGTACTTCAGCCTTCTCAGTTCGCCTCTTCGTGATCACTTCCAAGGAAGCACCAACGATCGACCTGTTGATTGGCTTCGATATGGTCCTCCGCCTCTTGCGCTGGGTCTCGGCGTGGGCATGCTTTTTGTGCTGCTTTCGATAAAGAGCCGTCCATCCCAGCTTGGACGGCTTCTTCTTGAGATGGAAGAGCGACTTGCATTTTGAGTTACCGAACAGGAACACCTGCGAATCCGATCGAATGAATCGGATTCCCTTGCCAGGGTAGATCTTGGCACCGCTAAAGCGGCAAATCTCCGTCTTGAGAACCATGGTTGGCTATGGCGGGAAGCAGAAGAGACCGACAGTCGTTGTTTTGATCCTCTTTATCCCGCTGCGCCCTCACCCGCCGCTCCGAGAAGACTACCTTTTTCACTGAGTCCCCCCTTCTTCCCTACCTCTGTTCTCCCCTTTCCCTCTCTCTCTACCCATGCATGCATGACACAATCATTTTGAAGAAGACGTCGATGATCACCACAAGAACGATGATTACGGTGACGATCGTGAAATGCGCTGTCGTCTTGCGCGCCGAATAGGACGTAAGGTCATCACATCTGTACTTTCCGGGAACTTTCAGCATAGAAGTACAACGATAATGACCGGACGTTCTATTCCACGGGTGGGTGAATACGGTAGTGTGGTGCTGGTGCTGTTGTTGATGATGCCCCAGTATGGTGATTGCGATGATCGTAATGATTATGGTTATGATGACGATAAGGGTAAGGGTGATGAGGGTATGTATAAGGATTAGGATGAGGGTGAGGAGCAGGAGGAGGAGGAGGAGGAGGAGGAGGATAACGAGGGTGAATGCTGATGGTCCCAGTTGTGATGGTGATGATGATGATGATGATAGTAATTGGCGATGATAGCCATGGATTTGGATATTGGAGCAATGCGATGATGAGCCGTATCGAGCCGGTACTGTCTCTCCCCGAACACAACGCACCCTGATTACGAATGCATACAAGCTATCTTTCCAGTCCGGTACAGTAAAAAATGAGGGTGCGTTGTGTTGGAAGGAAGACGCTAGTGGGATTGGGCCCCGGGGAGTCTGAAACAGCCAACGCACCCTGATAACGAATGCATACAAGCTATCTTTCCAGTCCGGTACAGAAAAAAATGAGGGTGCATTGTGTTCGAAGGAAGACGGTAAGGGAGACTGAAACACTAATTCTGATTCTCTGTTTTTCTCCTTTCTTCTCTATTTTTGCTTGTTTCTTTGCTTGTTTCTTTTTCTCCCTCTCTCTCTCTCTCTCAGAGTGACAGAGGTCTCGACATTCCTAACGTCGCAGACAGATAACCATTTTTATTTTTTGGGGGGAACAACCAGAAATTTCAGAGGAAGCAGAAACCCGAAACTTGGTGGAAATAATGACACAGTTCCTCAAGAATTAAAGGAAAAACAAATTACTCTTCTTCTAAACAAGGATGAAAACAGGGCGAGGGTGAAAGGAGGACGGCCCACTAAATCAAGAATTCGAAGAGCGTCACCCCTCCTCTCCCCCTTTTCACTTCTTCTTTTTCAAAAGGGGTTAACCCTGAACTTTGTGTTCATCTATTTCCGTCAGGATTGCAACTCGTACTATTCGTAAGCTTACGAATAGTACCATGCGTATATATCACCAATGACCTGGGCTGGAGGTGGAAGGATCCCAACCTGAATCTCGGGACCAGAAAAAGGAAAAAACGCAATTCCTTAAATTTAATGACGTCAGTCAAATCACCCATTATTAGTACACATCACCATGTCGTGGCCAGGCCAAGTGAACGGGAAAACATCACTGAAAACGCTGGTGAAACAAATGCTTGAAACCCGGTCACGCATCTGAAACCTTTCCTGGACAGTACAGCAGGCGACAAACGTGTCACGCTCATTGAGGGCGACGATGAGGACAACTTTCACACCGCTCCCCAACACCCCAGTCAGAGGACGATCGGCCGGACAATTGCCACCCATTATTAGTACACATCACCATGTCGTGGCCAGGCCAAGTGAACGGGAAAACATCACCGAACGAGAGAGAGAGAGAGAGAGAGAGAGAGAGAGAGAGAGAGAGAGAGAGAGAGAGAGAGAGAGAGAGAGAGAGAATCTGCCACGTGGACAACACGTGGCATGGTCCTTGATATGTTAACACGGTCCACATGTCTGCCACTTGGGCTTGGGTCACGTGGCACATATGATGCGTAGTTCCGCACTTGCGTCATGGTACTGTGAACGAGTGTGTGTGTGTGTGTGTGTGTGTGAGAGAGAGAGAGAGAGAGAGAGAGAGAGAGAGAGAGAGAGAGAGAGAGAGAGAGAGAGAGAGAATGGCAGCATGTGCTGTGTGTTCGGAAGCATTGGATCGCGAGTTAACGATCTCAAATACATAACATATGCTTTCTATTGAATTATAACACCTGTGTTCAATTGGAAGTGAGCTACTCGATGTTGTTTTTTCCCCGCTGCTTTGCTTAATCGACTTTGTTTTTTCTTATGAAGAGTTGTGTGTATTTGGGGAAAATTTTCGTTCTCGTCTTCTTTTTAAATTTTAATTTTTAAAATTTTAATTTATTTTTGGGCTGGTCATTGCATCTGAGAATAAGAAACAAACTTATTAATGGAAAAGACAAAGGCGCTGCATACAGTTCGTTGTTTTTCGACAGAGTGGAGGCGTATGATATTATTTTTCTTTCCCTTCACGACGAGCTCGATTGTATATAATGTTTATTTGTATTGATGCCAAAAGCTGACGTCTTGTGGATTTGCTGCCTTTTGCTGCCTTGCTTCTTGGTTTCGTTTGCTTGTTTGCATTTGGGTTCGGAATTGGAATTGGAACTGGAATTGTTTTTTTTTTTTTTTTTTTTTTTTTAAATGGGTCCATATGGTATTTGGTACCTAGGTTATGGAATTTGTATTTGTTCATTGGGTCTTCTTCGATCGGAATTGGGTTTGGTCTTGGTCCACTTGGAATTGGTTTCATTGGGTTGGGAATTGGTGCATCTGGTGGGGAATTGGTCCATCTGGTTGGGAATTGGGAATGGGCTTGATTGGGTTGGGAACCTGTCCCGCCGGACTTGGAATCGGGTTTGGAACTGGGTTTGGGAAATGATGGTTGGTTGAGGCCTGGAAATGCGGCGTTTGCAATTGGGACTGGGTTTGGAACTCGGTTTGGGAAATGATGGTTCGGTGAGGCCAGGTATTGGGTTTGGAAGTGGTTTGTTGAGGCTTGGAATTGGGTTTGGAATTGGCACCCTTGGGACTGAAATTGATCGGCTTGGAATAGGGACTGGTCCATTTGTGTCTGTCCCATCGGACTTGGGAATTGGGTTGGGAACTGGGTTTGGAAATGGTTCGCGGAAACGTGGAAGTGCGTCGTTTGCAATCGGTTCGCTGAGGGCTGGTATTGGGTTTGGAATTGGTCTGGTGAGGCTTGGAATTGGGCTCGGAATTGGTACACTTGGGATTCGAATGGATCGGCTTGGAACTGGAACTTGTCCCATGGGACTTGGAATCGAGCCGCTTGGAATTGCGTGTTCGGCAGGCGACCAAGCTGTATTGTTTCGTGCCCAAGCTCCCGGTCTGTGTGGAATGTATCTGCTCGGATGAGCATCGGCTTTGTGTGGTAGGTGATTCTCTCATAACATAAACACACCTGGCAAAGTATAATAATGGATATAAACAAATGTCCCTGACGTAAAAAATAGTTTTATCCGAGTGTTTTTTTTTTCTCGAATTTGGTTTTGAATTTGGACCGGACACTCAGGCGAAAGCTGTTTGTACTGCATTGTTCGATAAACATTTTTTTCCTGGATTTTCTGATTATACAAATTTCAAAAATTCGAATACAGCATGCATGCATGGATTTATTTGAATCCCATGTACGTAAGGTATATTCGAACGTACGTTATATTCGGGAAAAACAAGCGATTTCTGAAAACCCAATTTTCAGAGGTAATCCGAAAAGAACGTGCGTACGCTTTTTTTGGGTTAAGAAGGTAGGAATAGAGCTTGCTTGAGCAGCCCAGCTTCTGCACACCCACTATCTTTCTGCACTTCTTTTCGCTAGATTCTTTATTTATTTTGATTAGACTCGTTGTTTGATTTTGTTTGATTTTGTTTGATTTTGTTTGATTTTGTTTGATTTTGTTTGATTGGGGTTTATTGAAATAGTTTCATGAGTGTGGGAAGAAGAAGAAGAAGAAGAAGTGTGCGAACAGTCCATCTGCAACCATGGCAACAACATCTCGAACTATCACCTCTACTCCCTTGCTGGTTCTACGGAACCGTTTTGCAGACACAGAGAGAGAGAGAGAGAGAGAGAGAGAGAGAGAGAGAGAGAGAGAGAGAGAGAGAGAGAGAGAGATGGAACAAGAAAAGCAGGGCGAGATAGCTGAATGGCACTTTCGCGAGGGAGGCCAAGAAAATGCATTGACAGTAGGATCTGGAGCAGCTTCGCGGTGCTACTGATGTGAATGAGACCCCTGCATCAGTCATCAGCCAACCTATTACTCAAGTTGCTCCTGATTCAGATATCGGCTCCAGCTGGCAGAACTGAAGGTTAATCTGGATAAGGCCACCTTTGAGCCAGACAGTGACTCCACTCGTGTAATCCCCCGCCCAGAAAAAAACCGCCAGGCAACGCGAACATTCGCACGCACATGAGGCGTATGTATGAGAGTAAAGATACTAAGGGATGGCAACATCATGTATGAGCCAGGCGACCCTGAGTATACGGAAGTGAAGAGGAAGGTATTGGCGAAGCAAAAGGAGGAAGAGGAAGATAAGCAAAAGAAGAAAGAGGAAGAGAAGGAAAAGAAGAAAGAGGAGGATAAGGAAAAGAAGAAGATAAGGAAAAGAAGAAAGCGGAAGATAAGGAAAAGAAGAAAGAGGAAGATAAGGAAAAGAAGAAAGAGGAAGATATGGAAAAGAAAGAAGAAAGAAAAGGAATGAGAAGTGGGGGAGGAAACGAATGAGGAGGAGGAGGAGGACCTGGCAGAAACGAAGAGTGAGCCGGGAGGAGAGGAAAAAGGCGTGCAAGGAGCAAGTCCAGAACAGGAAGAGAAGCCACTCCCTGGGAAGGAGAGGGCTACCAACAAGGAGGCAAAATGGGAGATGGAAGGCAGGCAAAAGGTGGAGTTGGTCGACTTTGACTAGACGGTGCTTACGGTTAATGGGAAAGCGGCTTGCTCAGAATAGTAGAGTGAGGCGATGAACACATTAATGATCTAAAGACTGAGCTGTACAAGGAAAAGAACCGGACTAAAAAGAGTTACAGCAGCAGAACATTTTAACTGATACGAACGCCATGTGTGGCAACACTTGGCAAATGAAGTTAGCAAAAGGGAAGACAGAGGCCATGTTGGCACAGGCCGCCGCCTTGGCCCTGGACAGTGCAGGGAGCATAGATACCTTGCACGGAAAGGTTACGACGGCTACGTGAGAAACAAAAGAGGGAAACTGGAAAGCAGTTTCAAGGGCTCGAGTAAGGGAGCCACTGCCTCACTTGATGGAGAAGGAGGCGAGTGAGGAGATACAAACGGAGGAACAGAAGAGGGAAACTAGAACGCAGTTTTGAGGGCTTGAGTAAGGGAATCACTGCCTCCTTTGCAGATTTCACCAAGAGCTCGACCGAGGGTAGGAAAGGGCATGATGGAGGAGGAGGAGGAGGAGGAGGAGGAGGAGGAGGAGATTGAGGAAGGTAGAGACCCATGCAGATTCCCACTGCGTCCAGAGATGGAAGAAGGAGAGCCCTGGAAGCAGATGAACTTGTCCTGTTCCCACTAGCGAGCAGTGCCAGGATGAGGGCCCTTTCTGCCCAGAGTAGCAGCAGAACTCAACAAAAGGGACTGGTCTGTAGGAGAGTCAGCCGCTCTTACCAAGGCAAAGAGCTCAGGTAACACTATCAAAGTGTGCAGTGATCATTCCCCATTGCACTCGCAGGCTAAGGCAAAGGCTACTTACAGGGTCTCCATGAGTGGTTCCCTTGCCCATGTAGGTGAGACGCTTATCACTCTTCCCAGGTCCTGGACCGAGATGAAGAAGAAGAGGGCAGTTGATAGTTGCCGATCTAGAGATAGTGAAGACCAGAGTAGGAGCATTAAAAGACCCAAGATCAGCTAGGAGTTATATCTCACCTTGGCCAATCAAGAAGCTCCATTTAGGAATGAAATTTCAGAATTTGGGACATCCTATTTTTATTAGCAAGTTGGCAAACAGCAGTGAGATAATATTGCCAGAATATGTTGAGGGGGTAAAGGGTTACTTTCAATTGGAGAACTGGGAGAAAGAAGGTAGAGAAGGTGTTACATTCCCAGACTCTACTAGTGGAGAACTTACCCTTCGACATCATCCTAGGTCGGATGCAGACATGAGCATGAAGAGAAAAGTCTGCTAGATCCCAGATAAGGAGGGAGTGACGTGATCGATCCGCCAATACCATGAGTCTAGACAAAACACCCCACTGTTATGTGTTAGCCCTTGACATCACTCTGGATTGGGGTCAGGAGGCGGATGCAGACATTCGCATGAAGAGAAAAGTCTGCTAGATCCCAGTATAGCATGAAGAGAAAACTATGCTAGATCCCAGGTAAGGAGGGAGTGAAGAGACCGATCTGTCTTTACCATGAGTCTGTACGAAACACCCCACGGTCAGTGTGCTGCATGAGCACACCTGCATTCTCTACATACATTGTCAAGCAAGAGTTTCCCGAACAAGGTGCTCATGGCCTTAGTGAAGCCAATACGAATAGAAGAGGAGAGGGGAGAGCAGACAAACAAGAGCAACAAAGAAAAGCTGCCACCCACTATCAGGGACCCATTGAGAAAGGATGCACCTAGAGGTGTGACAAAAAAACACAATCAAGCACATGATAGAGATCACACCAGGTGAGCAACAAAGAAAAGCTGCCACCCACTATCAGGGACCCATTGAAAAGGATGCACCTAGAGGTGTGACAAAAAACCACAAATCAAGCATGGGATAGAGATCACAGCAGGTACCAAGACACCTCAGGGTCCAATTTACAAGATGTCTCCTGCTGAATTGGAAGACTGCGTAAGCAGCTTCATGAGTTTAGACAACCATTGCGGCAGGGTGCAATCAACTGCAGATTCCCAGCGGGCTGTATAACCAAGTAGATTTCCAGCTTACTGGGACCCCTCTTCTAACTGGTCCGGTTTGGTAGTTTGTCCTACGTTTTGAGCTCTGCGGAGCTTTATCCCTGTACCTGCCACTTAACTGGGGATCCTCTCTTTCGGGTAGTCCTGGACCTAAGGCCTTGTCTTTTTTTCTGCTGCTTTTGGTAGGCCCGTAGGTCTTAGTTTTCTGTCTGTCTTAGGTCGAAGTTGAGGTCGAGTCTGGAAATAGGCGGGCAGACATTTCAGTCGGGGCTTTCTCGTTCATTTTCTTTTCACTACCGAAAGCCTGGTCTTTTTGCCTTTTTTTTCTGCTGCTTTTGGTAGACCCATAGGTCTTAGTTTTCTGTCTGTCTTAGGTCGAAGTTGAGGTGGAGTCTAGAATAGGTGGGCAGTGATTTCAGTCGGGGCGTTTTCGTTCATTTTCTTTTCAAGCGTTTTCTTGGAGGTCGCGTCTTCCCGCTGCTGCACTATTCTTACCAGCGCAGGGCATCTGCTTCATGTGCTGCTGGCGGCCATAGCTGGGGCTGGTGAGCTTCATCGAGACCAGCGCTGGGCTAGAGGCCCTGAGCGGTGCTGCCGCTTCCTTCATACAGTGTGCTGGAGACAGGGTGCTGTTGATTAACTTGGGGAGAGACGATAATTAGAATTGATTTTTAATTCAATTCTATTTTGGGTATTTGTGTGCTTCCGCTGTGTATTCTCATCATCTGGTGTGGCGTGGATTGCTCTCTCTAAAGGTCACTTGTCATTGCACATGTGTATGGGAACGTGTGGATGCCATGCTGGATTCAATCATGCACATAACAAGTGGAACTCGCTGTAGATCATTGAAAGCGGTTTGTTGTGCCACATACTCGAAATGGCTTTCCCTCTTGAACCATTTGCATGCATCAGTCTTGGCATGGTTCCGAGAAACCCTCTTTTCTCCCCTGCGTTTCAGATTGTACGACCGGAGAAGATGAATACCATGAAACAGAGACAACAAGTATTAGAAAGAAAGAAAGAAAGAAAGCAGAACTGGAAAACCCACGGCCATAGATCTCACACACATGCAATAGCTGAGTGCAATTTACGAGAAGTTTCCAAGGCTCACTGGGTCCAGACAGACAGACGTGCAGATCAAGACATCTTAGTCAAGGGAGGCAAGCCCAGCTGAGCCGACAATACAAAAGACCGACCTTCCCCCGTCGGCTCAATCATTACTGCCTCGCGATGGGGAAGCTGGAGCTCTAGCACTGTAGGAGGCAAAGATGGTCCGAGAGAGAGAGAGAGAGAGAGAGAGAGAGAGAGAGAGAGAGAGAGAGAGAGAGAGAGAGAGAGAGAGAGAGAGAGAGAGAGAGCTAACCAACTATGGCTCCCCGCACACGATCAAGTGCAGTAGCTGCTTCGATCAGATCCGTGGTTTGTTGAGATGGTTAAAAAGAAAAGAATAAAAAGAAGCGCGCTCAATATGTGAGGTGGGGGAGAGAGAGAGAGAGAGAGAGAGAGAGAGAGAGAGAGAGAGAGAGAGAGAGAGAG